CTTGCCACACATGGGTGAACCATTCTCCTCTTCTGAAATAGCTTATGGGGGTTTTCAGGTCAGGATGCTTGGGTATATTTGGGGGCAAGCCAGTCACGCCACCTTAGAGGGATCTGTGGATGGGGAATGTACCTCAAGCAGGTCCACAGAGGGGCCAAAGCATCCAGAGCCCTGGGCCCGTTAAATTGCCACCAGAGAGCCACACTCCAGAGAGCGCTGAGGGTTGGGTGGGGTCTGCATGGTCCTCCCCCCGACCTTAAGAGGAGACTGGTGGAAGCGCAAGGGACCACATGTCTGTAGAGCAAGTGACATGAGAGGAACAGAACAGGAAGGGACGCACAATGAAGAGGAAAAAGGGGGCATTGTGGGTAGCTTGTTTTCAAACATCTGTGTGGCAACTACAACAAGCGTTTACATGGGAAGCTAGATCCTCCTTAGGGGTGGGAGGGAAGGTGAGCTCGAGATAATTTCTGTAATAAGATGTAGCACAGGAAGTTTGGAAGCCTGTGCACTAGTTCTTGAATTTCTTCCTTTGTATTTCCTCATGGACTGGTTTCCCCTTGAACTTGTTGGCTTTGCTGTGGAATTCTGTTGGTATTTACTACCTGGGACAGTGATAAAACTTGGAAAACACTGATGGGGTCAGATTAGATTAGATGATTGCTTAGTATTTACAGCTGTCAGGAAAATACTAAGCTGATGCAATTCTTTCTGGGAAGAAATTCCTGCCTCCGTTATAGGTTCATAAATACTTTAAAGGCGGGAGACGAGGGCTTTTATTACAGCCTCAGTGAGTGACACAAGGTCAGTGCATGACAGTTATGCCCAACTTTTCTCATTTCATAGTGAATCCAGCCTTTAAATGGACACAGTTTCACAATGGATAAGGGTCATTTAATTTGCCCAACAGGTCTGATCTAATTAACTAATTCCCTGCTTGATAAAAACATTCATCATCTAAGACTGTTAAGGTGGCCTCTGCATTTTTCTTCATTCTTACTGCACAAGAAATTTACCTCTTGACATTATATATATATATATATATGCAATGCCAGGTACATCTTCTAGTATATACATTTCTAGTATGCTTTGTTTTAATATAGTATATTTACCACGTGACATATATATTCTTACTGCACAAGTTATTTATCTCTTCTCTTACTCCTCATGAGAAGCTGAAGTACTGGTGCCAATGGGGGTGTCCTTTGAGTTTGATTTAGTGGGTCTATACTACACCCGCTAAATCAAACCCCGGAAGATCGACCGTGGCAGCGTCAATCTTCCGTGTAGCGTAGACGTGCCCTTATGGTGTAATACAGTTTCTATGCTTGTGCCACATTGACCTACGCACATTGACCACGGCTCAACGCCCCTGGGGGCGGTGGCATTACTAGAACAGCGTAACAGGGAGCTATGTCTGCAGGAGGAACTCTTCAGTGGTGTGGCTGCCCTTCTGCCTCTAGCTACAAATGGGTTCTTCTCTCACTGCATTTAAACTACCTCTCCAAGAGGAAGCACTTAGGTCAATGGAAGAATTATTCTAGTAACCTACCATGGTCTACACTATGACTTAGGCAGGCGTAACTATGTCTCTGAAGGGCATGAGCAGAGTAGCTGGGTCAACCTATCTTTGTATGGTAGACCAGCCCTTAGTGTACCAGCGACTAGAAATCTCAACCTACCATGGGTTGTGCTAGGTGTAGGCCCCTGCCCATTGGTTCCCTGGTTTCCTTGCCCTGGGTTGCATTCTGCAGCCATTGTAATGATGCAGAAGAGAAGTGTTGGGTTAAACTCCCTTTCAGAAAATCTACAGTTCACGTATGGGCCTTCCACTTCAAAGATTCCAGATTCACACAGGAAAAAAGTGTACTGAACGCAATGAAACATTGCAACGAGGTGTTGTAACAGCCTTAGTTTGTGGCCTGCTCCCCTTCAAGACAATGGGAGCTTTGTCACTGATTTCAGTTGGAGCAAGTTCAGGCCTCAGACCTGGAAAAGAACATAAACCAAAGTATCAAATGATGCAATGGGATTGACAATAAAGATATTTCTGTTACATTGGAATTAGTCAACCATTGCCTCACATGAATGTTGCTGCAGGAGATCATAATATTTCCACTTATGAAAAAAGAAAGGGACACTTATAACCAAGATCAAGAGGCTCAGGCTCTATTCCTGGTTCTGCTGCTGCTACTCTTTGTGACCTTGGACAAATCACTTAGACCCTGAGCGTGCGAAGATACAAGCACATGCTTAAATTTATGTACCACAAATAGTCCCATTGATTTCAAGAATGCGCTTTAATCATAAAGCCCTGCCCTTCCCTTGATTTTACAGTGTGTAAAGTTATATAAATGTAAATCTTTGCAAGGCTGAAGCCTAAATCTCTTTGTGACTCAGTTACCATATCTATAAAATAGAAACAAAACCCCCTGCCTCCAAGGCATTTGTGAGTTCATCCTCACCAAACCCAGTAAAGTTCTAATTTGTTAGTTTATTTGTTCATTCATTTGTTTTAAAATTGCACTTTTTGTACTGATTTCTGTTACAGAATAAAATTCTATTAGCATAATTTAGGGACTGGACTCGATGAACTCTTGAGGTCCCTTTCAGGCCTAGTATTCAATGATATGTTAACAAGTGTTTTGAAGTTTTGAAAACAACCAATTACTTGTTACTGCATTAACCAGTGCATTAACCATGATACATTCACACATCTATAGCAATCTCCGTTCCATTACCTAACAGGCCTCAAACCATTAGGGTCAGATAAAGCATAGTACAACTAAATACATTACTGAGACTTCCTGTTAAAATGGTCTTTCAATGCCTTCCGCAGCTAGATAGCTCTGTGTCGAGCTCTTTTAATAGCTCTTGTGTCTGGCTGTTCAAAGTCAGCAGACAGCCGCTCCATCTCTGCCCTGGTGCCAACTTTTCCCCCTTCGCTTCATAGATATTACACAGAACACAGCAGGCAGCTATAACTTTTGGAAGATTTTTGTCACTGAGATCCAACCTCTGTGGCTGGATGCCCAGGGGGGTACTTCTCAATGGTGCTGTACATTACACATTGATACAACCGCTCCTGGTGAGAACCCACTGTGGACACAAGGAGGCAAGCATGCACATGCATGAGCAATGGGGTGGCTGTATGCCCATGTAAGGTGTGTTGGCAAAACTTTGCGGTACAGACAAGGCCTTCAAATAAGGGTGGCAGAATCTAGCACATAGTGAGGGGACTATCCTAAAACATCACAAATAGTAAGCAAACCGAGGTGTGTGTTCTTGCCTGCAGGTTTGTTCTATGGTACAGTGTTTCTCAAGCTTTTTTTTTTATAAAGTGCCCCTTTAAAAAAATTATAAGTACCCCCAATATCTACAGTTTTCAGACACACACATTATTTTCTACCATTGCAACACATTTGTTTAAACAACTTAATCCTAGCCAGGCGGGGGATGAAATGTTTGGGTGTAAAAAGTACAAAAATAATAAAACGCTGCAAAACTTAAAACAAAAATTCAGTTTTCTCTAAATTTCAGTTGTGTTGACGTACCCCTCCCCCCCAGACTTCTCTCAAGTACCTCTAAGGGTACTCATACCACTGGTTGAGAAACACTGCATGGTAGACCATGCATGAGGGGATAGATATTGCTTTACGTAAAACTATTTGCCTCCAGCTACAGTCCATTAAAATATATTTGAAGATTGACTTGCCCATGATGGCATCTGCCAACTGCAGAAAATTCAAAGGTTCTTTTATGTGTCTTATTGTTGCTTATGAGCCAAGGAACATGATGAAATGCCATTGAAAGACAGTCACTCCACAGACATTGCATCATGACCATTACAGAAAATGCAGAATAAAGGGGTAGAGAAAGCTGAGCCTTTGTTATACAGACTAATGCAGAGGCACGAGAGAGATGATGAGTGATACACATCAAGCAAAAAAGCCCTGAAATAAAATTTTCAAAGGGCTTAGATAAAAAAAAAAAAAAAGAGGGGAGAAAAGCGTAAAAACAGTAGAGGAAAAGAGAGAAGTCTGAGATTTGAGAACATCACCATGCAAAATGTGGGAAAATAACATGCAATACATTTCTCAGGAACAGCTAGCAAGAAAGGGAGGCTGTCCGCAGCACTGTAAGGGTATAGGCACATCTGAGAGTCCTCACCCGAGCCCTGGTGTTAAAACAGAGCAAACCTTTGTGAAAATGGTGTAAAGATATTTTTCTTGTTCATTTTGTGTTGTAAAGATATTTTTTTGGTTCAAGTTTTGAAACTTGAAAAGTTTCGAGCAGTTTGACACTGGTAGAAAATGGAGTAGAAAAAACTAACCATGAAAAAAAACAAGGTGTTTTCCTCTTGAAATTGAAAAAGAATGTCAATAACATTAACATTCTGTATCAAAATTTTGAAATTTGAGAAACATCACTGCTAGAGAGCCTTTCCCAGCCTTATCTTGGTATTAATAAACAATGAGGTTTTCTGTGGCAAAAATGACCGTTGGGCACCTAACTGCCATGAGCTGTGGGTGCATAACTCTCACTGATGTCTTTAAAAATCTCCTCTTTACATAACCTATGCATTGGATCATCATATATTATAAAGCAATAGAGGCACAATACACCTGTAGCTGTCCAACTGTTGGTCAGTGCTGCCATATCTTCCAATAGTGCCCAATAAATTGCATGAGTCTGGCTGTCTTCACTGTCTAATAACAGGAAGTTCCGGTTGCACTGGAAACCATGTATTTGCCAAATTGGCTCTTAATGCAGGCCAGACAGAGTGGATTTTTTCTCTCATGCCCTCAGAGAGTGCAATTGCTTTAATGCTGGATTCTGTGATATCCCTATCCTGTTTATTATTCATAGATGCCAGTTAGCTTTGCTTAGTGAATCCCACTTCCTAATTCAGTGGGGTGGTGTAGTGTGGGAGGATTACATCACTTCTGGGGGGTGGTCTCTGGCAACATCCTGTCAAATAATTTCTGTTGTTTCTACAGGAAAAATGGATACATGTCTCTAGGCATTACAGATGGGATTTTCAGGCCCAACCTGTGACCAGCCCTTTGTGTCCCTGCTGCTTTACTACATTCAACCCAAGGAAGCACTGTGGTGAGAGGAAAAGAGCAGCGAAGTCCTGCCTAGAGAGGCCTGACTGGAGCAGCCATTTTGGAAACTAGAGAGACATGATCCTCCCAGGTCTAGAAGGGGTTAGCAACAGCCAATCAGCACCTTGCAGGCTCAGATAAAAGGAGTGGCGTCACCACGTCAGTTGGTAGTTGAGAGCTGAGGAGTGAACAAGGGGGCTTTGCTCTGGCCGGTAAGTACCCAGAGTTTGTGGCCGGCCAAATTTACACAGCCACTGCTGAGGGGGAAGGAGACAGCCTGTAAGAACAGGACCAAGGAAATAGCAGCAGGAGATTGCAATGGAGCCAAACATGGCAGCTGTGTTCAGGGTCCCTGGGTTGGAAACCTGAATTGTGGGCGGACCCAGATTCCTCCAGCAGCAACAGAGCGTCCACGCCTGAAGGGTTTATTTGGCAGCCTGGGCAAAAGGCTGAATTGAAGGGTCTCTGAGCCAGGCTGAAGACCTTAGTGAGGGCAAAGAGGAGGTTCATGGAAGGTGTTCATTTGGAGGCCCGTACCGATGGAGACCCGTCAAGGTTAGTCAGCAGCCTTCAGGGGGCACCAGGGGCCACACCCAACCACTCAGAGGTCCCCTTTACATCATCTCATTCCCTTCCCAGTGGGAGCGTGACCATGACTTGGCTGGGAGTAGAGTTAGGCTCATGCCAAGCACTTTGGAAAATGTCACCCCACATGATAATCCGCCCACTCCACAGCTGCTTAGACAGAATAAACTGTCATGCTGGGCAATGTAGATGTTTCCTTTAGAGAAATGTTGCTCACAACGGGTCCCAGCCCCTCCACAGCCACATCTAGTTGTGGGGGGGCCTAGACCGTTGTGTTCCATTTTGCTGGGGACTGATCTGTGCTGAGCAGGGCCCACAGCTTTGATGGGCCCCTAAGCAAGGTGTGTGTGTGTGTGTGTGTGTGTGTGTGTGTGTGTGTGTGTGTGTGGAAGGGTTGATTCTATACTCCCGGAATGGGCAGGGACTCAGGCAGAAGGGGCGGGGTTGAGCCCTCAGCGCCACCCGGAGCATGTCTCCCCGCTTCCCACAGTACCCTCACTGCCGCCTGGTGCACACCACACAGTGCTCTGGCAGTGTTGAAAGGGCCCGCAGCTCTGACCCCTGCTGCCACCAAATCGCCCAACTCCAGGGCAATCATTCCCTTTGCCCCCCCTTCAGTGGGCCTGTCTCTGCTGGATACAACACATCTGTGCTACCCAAAAATCCTGAAAGCAACTTTTGAAGCAGCCATTTACACTTGTGCAGGTGTTTTTTTCTCTCGAAGCTGCTATTTGCAGGTGACAAGTGTAAGCAGGGGCTGAACTGCTGCAGCTAAAAGGAGGGGTGGGTGTGCCCACTACAACTGTTTAGCTCTGCAAGATAATTAACTGTTAACTGTTGACATGTAAATACAGCTCAGGAGAGAATCCGAGGTGTGGCTATGGAAATCCCATGCAGCCAGGGCTGATGGTAGGTCAGTGTTGGAATGGAATGTGGAGAATTGTAAATAATTTGGGGCTGTTGTGGGGGTCACTAATCATGCTACCCCTAAATGTGGGAACTGTAAAACATGCCACCAGTGCTTGCAGGAGAGACACCACCATCATGGTAAGAGGTCTCGGAGGAACAAGCCTCCCCCCTTCCAGAGTTGAGTGAACAGAGCTGGGGGGGGAAGGGTTAAAGGGCTTGAGTCAGCCTGCTTCACACCTGCCAGGTCTGAGCTATAAGACTGGCCCAGCCTGCACCTTTCCCCCTTTGTTTTAAGGACTCCCTGAGGAGTCCTTTCTTTTGCTAGTCCAGTGGAAGCTGGATTCCTTTTGCCAGTCCAACTGGTGGCTAAAGAATTGAAATCATGGAGAGCTGAAATCACTGGTTTGGCTGAGAGCCAGACCCATTGCAGAGCAGTGGAGTGGTGGCGACCAGCAGAGTGGCTGGTGGGAATCACTGGCTAGTGGCGTAACGTGGCGCGGAGTGGAGGCAGGTGAGGAGCAGTGACCAGCGGTGTGCCGTGGAGCGGTGGCAGGCCAGGGGCTGGGAAAAGGAGGAGTTTTTTTTTTTTGCTAGTCCAGTAGAAGCTGGATTCCTTTGCCAGTCCAACTGGTGGCTAAAGAATTGAAATCATGGAGAGCTGAAATCACTGGTTTGGCTGAGAGCCAGACCCATTGCAGAGCAGTGGAGTGGTGGCGACCAGCAGAGTGGCTGGTGGGAATCACTGGCTAGTGGCGTAACGTGGCGCGGAGTGGAGGCAGGTGAGGAGCAGTGACCAGCGGTGTGCCGTGGAGCGGTGGCAGGCAAGGAGCTGTGACCAGCGGCGTGATGCGGAGCAGCAGCAGACGAGGAGTAGTGACCAGCGGCGGCAGCAGGCGCGGAGCGGCGGCAGGCGACCAGCGGAGCGTCCGGTGGCGTGGGATGAGACAGCTGGTGGAGCGTGGTGGAGTGTCGTCAGGTGCCCCCTATCTATCCTGCCACCCCCATTTCTAGCCAGAGTGGGAGGTGAAACCCTGTAGGTGAACTTTGGGATTCTGGGTGGCATGGACTAGGGACAGAGACTTTCGGGGTGTTGGACTCTTTGGACTTCAGGTGATTCTTGGCTGGGGGGGTGCTTAGCTCATGTTTGGGTTATGAACTCTGTTTGTGGTGTTTCCCCCAAGTTATCGCCGTATGACTTCTCTCTCTGTTTCATTCAATGTTTCTTTCCTACACTCAGACTCAGTGCTTGTGAGTGGGGAAGCATTGCCTCTCAGAGGCACCCAAGGGTGTGTGAATTTCCCAGATTACTGGGTGGGGGCTCAAGCCGGTTCTGTGTGAGATGGACCCCAAGATATTGAACCCACCCTGGTTACCGCCAGGCCTACCTGGCAGAAGGGTTACACAAGGATATTTTTGTTCAGGGAAAGTGTGTTCCATTCACTGGCTCTGTTATAAGACCTTGCTAGGGCCTTAGGCTGTTGTAGGGCAGTACTTTGCATGAGTAACACAAGGAAGGTACTCCCTCTGCTTCAGTGTATGGGAAAGGCATCAATTATTCTCCAAAAGCATTTCTCGCTGATTCACTGCTCTTTATCATCTCATTTGCAGGCCTCATCTTGAATTTCTACCACGCCCAAATCTCCCATTGACTTCAAGGAACCGGATAAGCTTATTGTGGGAGCTGGGTCAGAGCCACTCTGGCAGTTTCGCTACAAGAAGCGCCAGCGTTCATCAGCACTGGAATGCGCGTGGCGCTCAGATAACTAACACGGTGTGTTATATCAGGTGTGACATGCCCAGCGTTGAATTCAATGGCAGGTTTGGAGGGGAAAAGGATTCCTGGGTTTGCCTGTAGTTCTGCAGTTCACCAACACAATAATTCAGGATCTCCCACTCTGTTGCAAAACACCCACTTTCCATTGCTATGAACCACTGGGGTGTCAGACCTTTTAGCTCAGTGATGCAATAAACACAGCAGAGATGTTGTTAGGCTCTAGACCAGCGTTTCCCTAACTGTGGTCCGTGGCCCAGTACCAGTCCTTAGAAAAAAAATACTGGTCCTTAGAAAAATTATCATGCACGATCCTATTCATTTGTGTGATGGGGTAGCAGCACCCCGCACTGCCAAGCGCAGTGGCGTGGCCCACTTGGGAGAGCCCGCTGCCGCGGTGTCTCTACTGGGCACGCTCCCAGGCAGCGGGGCTAAATCCGGCGGGTGGTAGGACCCAGGGAGAAGGCCGGGGACCATGCACACCGACACAGAATGCCCAGCTTCGGACACAGCTGGGGGAGCCGGTGCCGGCCAATAAAGCTCCCAGGATTGGGGCCAGGAGGGGGGACGAACAACCGGCTGGACAGGTAGGGCCAGTGACACAGTTTATTTGCATATTCATTTGCTTAATGAATATGCAAATATGCAAATAAATGTTACCAGTCCTCCAAAAGCTTGTGAATGGGTTTACTGGTCCCCAGTATCAAAAAGATTGGGAACCACTGCTCTAGGCAAAGTATAGGCATTAGAAAGACCTGGTTCCAGTGGGATCTTATGATCTGAATAGGCAAAGGGTAGGAAGGTGTACAGATAGTTCGGAATAACTACATTGTTCGAACTATCTAGCCCGTGCCGCGTGTAGCCGCGCGGCACGGGGTTCGAACAAGCCGGCTTTTAAAAATGGCGGAGCCGGCTTTATGCTAATGAAGCCCGGGAAATTCAAATCCCGGGCTTCATTAGCAAGTTCGGTATGCATACATTACCCCCCTAGTTCGAACTAGGGGGGTAGTGTAGACATACCCTAACTGATTAGTCCCCAGTGACATAACGAAGTATGTATCCCAGTCCCATTCACTATCCATTGACCCACAGAGTCTCTGAAGACTCCTGTGAAATACATTCAGGCTTTGTCTATCCTGCACTGCTTTTAGCAACATGGCTGGGGCAACACGGCCCGTACCGCTTACCATCTGGCGGTGTTAACAGACGTCGACAAAATACTTCCGGCGTCCCCACTCCCCCTTCGAGCAAGGTTCAAGTTGCCAACAGGAGCGCGCTCTGCCTGACAGCGCGCCATTCACACGGCCACTTGCTGCAGCAAAACTTCTCTCTTTTGGAGGCGGAAGGGGAACTTTTTTAGGCACCAGTGAACAACAACAAGTTTTGCCGCTTCACTTGGCAGCGTCGACAAAGCCTTGGGCCTCTGCCCACAGTGAAGGTTTGTCAATTGTATTGTCAGCACGTGGTACATGTACAGCAGAATCATCCTCTGTCTGACGATTCCCACGGTGCCACCGTACTCCACTGGGAACCCTTGGGCTGGGCCAATCGGGTTGGAGCGCCCTGCGAGTTCTGCTGGGCTGAAGGGGGAAAAGCTCGCTTCATGTAAATGACTTCTGGTGCTGAGTGCCCAAGATTCCACCTACGAAGCGCTGTTGCGTGGGTTGGGATTTGTCTGTGTTTTGATGTGTCATGGTGATAATGGCTCGTTATTGCTGAACTCATGGAAGGGCCTGGGAATTGTGCAGGATGTGCCTTGGGGATTCTGACTGAATAAGAAACGGATGTTGGCTGGGTAACAAAGCCGGGCTCCGCGGAGAAGGAAAGGGCTGTCATAGGGACTATGAGGGCGGGGCTATTCGGAGGACCAAGGATGCTGGTCGGGGTCCTGATTTGTTCTGGGGACCCCGTGCAGGACAGGTTGAACCTCTGTGGTCCGGGACTTTCTAGCCCAGCCACACCTGTGATGCAGCAGAACCAGAGAGCCCCAGTGGCAGAGGTTTCTGGTGGCTGGAAGCTGAGCCAACCAGTGGGGCCAGCAAGGGAGAACCAGAGCTGGTAGGGCCCAGGGGGCTGGAGTTCACACTCCATGGGAGCTGCTGGGGCTGTGGGAGCTCATGAGTCTGGCAGCGCTGCCAGGGTCATGGGAGCTGGTGGGGCTGCTGCAGCTCAGGGGCCAGGAGGCAACAGTGCCAGGTGGCTGAGGAGAGGAGCCCAGCAGTGAGGCTGGCACCCTCCCCTTCCCAGACCTCTTCTGGTCCAGCCAACTCCCTTGCCTGGGACCGCTCAGGTCCCAAGGGAGCTGGACCAGGGAGGTCCAACCTGCATACCTGGACAAACCGTCATGTTACCACGGTGGCTTCCGGCCTTGTTCTGTGTGGAAAACTGAAACAGTTGAGGGACAAGAACCCCATGACCACCCTCGTGCTCTTCTCTTGGTTTTGTTGCAGGCCTTGGAGGGGAGGGGTCTTTGTTTCACTGCAATGACTTTGGGTTCTGGGAGATCCTTGTGGTGGCAGCTGGCTCCACGGTGAGGCGCGGCTGGACTGGGGGTGACAAAGCAGAGTGCTCCAGCCCACTTAGT